CGCCTAGCTTGTGGCAGATCGCACGACGCGTAAGGAGACGACCCGGGGCTTGAAATAATCGACCAAGCCGAGTGCCTGTGTTACTCTCAAACTGATGCAGTAGCACCAAGAACATGAGCTGACACCCCTGCCTAGCTGAGCCGACCGCAGGTCGAAGCAACGTTGGTAGCACTGCCTCAGTTTCAATGCCCTCACCAGGGCCAATGATCGAGCACTCCAAGGTGTTTCATTCTGCGTGCGCACGGAGTGATAACATGTGATAACCAAATTGTCAGACCTGGCGGCGTGGGGGTGCTGGTAGGACATCATTTGAGAAGATTGGTTTGGGTAGTGGGCCGGTAGAGTGCCCAGCACCAGGCTGGATTGGTTGTAAGGACTGCAAACATGATGCACGAACCGAATGCTGCTAAAGGTCGCGGCTGCTGATGTCTTCATACGCACATCCCCGACGCGATGTTCTTCATCGTGCAACAAAGGCTCCACAACCAGGTGCAAGACGGGTGCAAAACGTGCCCCAAGCGCCAGTGCCTTTCCAGGATTTCACTATATTTCACTCAATTTCATTCACCCCTTGCTGGCTTGTCACCCCTTCACTGGGTGCTCCCGACATGGCCTGGCCATGTCGCCCTAAGGCCTCAGTTGCGAAGCTCAGTGGGACCAACAGTGACCAAGGTATCAGTGCCGAGAGTTCGGTGCACTTGTTTAATCTGGTTCGCTTTGTGTTTTGTTTGATATGTTTCTCTCTCCCACGGCTCTATCTATCTTCTGAATCTTTACATCTACTGGGTCTCATGGCGCTTCTCAAGCATTTGCGCAAAGAACGCCAAAGAAGCCTATGTACATGGAGTTTGCTGATTTTCGCAGACTCCGGTGAAACTGGGGATGGCTTGTGGTGTCGTTCTCCGCTCTTCTCAAGCTAAGAATGCAAACTACTTGACATTTAGTTGAACTTCTTGAGTTCTGGCCACAAGAACCTGGCCGCTCTACTCACTCTTCAGTGCCCACGCGCTCGCCCGGCCCTTGCAGTGCTTGGGAAGGCATGCACGTGCTGCTTCCGGCGGCCGGTGACCATGGAGATTTGGACCGCCACCTGGTCCTGAGAGGGTCGAAAACTGAGACCCGTCATATATGGTGTATCTGGGTCTCTTCTCCAAAAAGAATACCCTGAAGCATCTGACAAAACATCCAAACAAACATGGTCTTTCAAAGGTTTTGAGTGTGCATCGAGCAGAAACAAATCCCGCCTCAGTGACGGTGATGTCCAGGAATGGCAGTCCCCAATGATCCATGATGGGCTCTTCGTAGCTGTACTTGAAGCGTCCTCCTGGCAGATCTGCATCCAGCTTCCAAGGGTGGTGGCCTCTGGAGTGGCCCTCCACAACGCCAGCCAAGACCACCGGAATGGACATGTCAAGTCTCGTGTCGCTCAGAGTCCCGGTACTGCTGAAGTCTGCGCCATTCAACAGCACCACCTCCCGCTTCGAGGGCTGCACTTTCTTCCAATCGAAAAGCTTCTCCAACAAAGTCTCCTGTTCCAGCCGGCTGTCTTTCCATGTGAGTGGAGACTGTAATGACGAATCAACACCCTCATCAGCTGCGGATGGCAAGTCTACTTGCTTCACCTCCTCTTCCAAGGCTTCCTTGAAAAGTTTGCTGACCTCTTTAAGAGCAAAGTCTGGATCTGCGGCGTCCTCTACAAAGTCTTTCCCCACGCTTCCCTCACAACCTTTGTTGAGGCCAAAGTGATCGTTATCCTCTTCAAAGCCCTTCTCCAAGCTGCCCTTTGAGCCCTTGTCAATCTTGCTCAGAGCAGCATTTCCAGAGTTTTC